TGCAATATGTAGAGAGAGAGAAGGTAGCATCTGTCTCCAGGAAGCAGTTCGTGTTGGACCTTGGGTGGTTGATATGCCCAGAAACACAGGCCCAAGGGAACATCACAAGCAGGTTTACTCTCTAAGTCGCTCTTACTGAAAACACCACCAAATGCAAGACTTAACAGTAGCTCCCACCCTCTCTCTCAAGCATGTAATTCATATAATCAGAAGGGTAAGAGACTAGCACGCCCATGAAATGAAACAGATATTTATGAAAAGGAACAATTTGAGATATCAATGATGAAAAACATAACTGCTGATATGTCAACTCCATATTTTATATTCATATTGTAATGGATCAGCTAGAGAGTAGCTTAGTAGTTTGGAAGAGCTGGATGGAAATTCTAGATTACATTAAAAAGAAGAAATTGGGATAGAAATTGTGTGGAAAAAATATTAAGATATGTGAGAAACAGACCAAGAAATTTCCAAATCCTTTTTTTTCAATTTGAAAGCAGTCACAGATTACAAATATAACCATGGTAGATACCTTAGTTGAGGGGTCGGCAAACTTTTGAAATGGAAGAGGCACCAGGGGTCAGCAAACTGTGGCTCGTGAGCGTGTAGCTCTGAAGTAAAATTGAAAATGAAAATAAAACTATCATAGTTTCATTTATAAAAATTTTAAAGGACATTATTCACATAATGGTGATTATGTAAAAATATACTTATGGCTCTCGAATAATTTTTAAATTGTTGTGATGGACAGGATTGGCTCTTTCAGGGGTGGGCAAAGTTTTGAGATGGAACTGTACCTAAAGAACCACATGTGGCTTCTGAGCCGCAGTTTGCTGACCCCTGCCTTAGTTCATTCTTCTAATAAGCCTGTCGATCATTGCCAGCATCTCCACCTTCTACAAAATGGGTCGACTTTTCCTTCATTCCACCTTGTGAGGAAGACAATTTGAAGGGCCAAGGGCCACAGGAAGTTGTTTGCTTTTTTGAAGCATTTTCGAACAGTATAGATCTTATGAATAAGATCTTCCATGCAGGTGATGCCATATCTACCAAGAGATCAAGCAATCAATGTGTTATCTGTCAGGACAATTTGCATTTTGCTGATTTTACCATAACCATGCTTATAAATCAGTTCATTTATGACTTCATGTTTGTGTACTCCCATGCAATATATGGCTTCACAATCCTCAGCATGTTAATTGAGGCCTTGTTGAGCTTAACAAAGATGCCATTGAAGACCTGCAGAAGGTGAAGAAACTGCAGCACCTTTTGAACCTTTGGGCTCACACTGCTGGTGCCTCTGATCCTGATGACAAATGCCAATTTGGGTTCTGTAGGTCCATAGAAGTTTCCAGCTTTTGTTACCATCCCAGCCATTCGAATCTCAGTTCTGTACATCTGCTTGTATTATTTGTGACGCTGCTTAGCTTTTCCATGGATAAGCTTCCTTCTTGCCTTTTGAAACATCTTTTGGGCAAACTCCTTTCTCAGGCGCTTGATCATCAGCTCTGTGAAATTCCTTCACCTTTTCTTAAGGGTTTCTGGTACAGCAGGAACCTTCTTTTTTTCTTCTGTACCCTTCATGGTTCCAGCCAGAAACAGCCCAAAATCTCTTTAATACAAGTGCATGGAGATAAAAAAGACAGAACAGAGTGGAGAATCCCAAAGAAAAGAGAAAAATTTAAAGATATTTTTTAAAATGAGTTTACTAATTAAAGGTGCCCATTAAAATGTGATAGGAAAAAGCAAAACATAAATAAATAAATAAATAAATAAATAAATGGCTTCCAATTCCACCTAGATGGAATAGCCCATTCCTGCCAGGTCCTCCCTCTTCCATCTAAAGAACTCTATACTTAATACAACAAACAGGATTGCATGACTCTGAAAGGTGGAGAGAAGAAGGTGGACTGCCAATATGACTGAGGACTTGGAGAAATACCTGGGGCTAAGTTCTCTGGGTTTTCTGAACTCCTCACATATACTCAGGACAGGTGCAACAAAATATTCCAACCTAGACCAGAAAATGGTGTGCTTTTCTTTGCCTGTTGTCTTATAGGACATTGACAAAAGAGCTAATATTTAAATCATCAGAGTCCAGAATGTGTGGAGAGAGAAAGAGAGTTGGGCTGAAAAAAGTGTTTGAGGAAATACTCCCAAACGTGACAAAAGATAATAACCACAGGAGTCAAGAAGCTGAGTAAAATAGAAATGGGATTAACCCAAAGAAATCCTTGTGAAGACAAGTTTATTATAAAATTGGTATTAAAAGAGATGGGCTTTAGAATAATAAAACCATCTTGACAGAGCATAAAGTGGGAGGTATTTTTCTATCCAATATCATGGCTTAAGTACAATAGCCAAAGCAGTATAAGGGATAAATGACTATCAGTAGAACAAATTAGCCTAGAAATGGACCATACAAATACGCTCAACTGATTTTTTATAAGGTCCGAAGAACAATAAAGGAGGGATCCTTGTGGTGATGGAACAATTTTTTAAATTAGTTTCAGGTGTACAAAACAATATAGTGATTAGACACTTATATACCTCACAAAGTGATAACCCAATAAAGTCTGTTACCCATGATGGAACCATTTTGTATCTTGAGTGTAGTGGTGGATACATGACCTGACATGTGTGAAAAAATTGTATTTAATGACATACACACACAATACCACAATACACACATGCACACACAAATGATAACCAGTAAAACTGGGAAATTAGAATAAGATTAGTGAGGTGTATCGATGTTAATATCTTGGCTGTTGATAGTGCAATATAGATTTGCAAGATGTTACCATTGGAAGACACAGGATAAATGTTACACAGGATTGCTTTAAGTTATTTCTTATAATTATGTGTGAAACTCCAATTATTTCAGCTGAGGTTTTTACGAAAGCTATTAGCTGATGGAAACAGGCAATATATGGAAAGAATTAAAACCATGACTACATGGGATCTTTTGCATGTGGAAAGACAGTTAAATATTTGAAAACCATCAGTGTCACCCACCAAATTAACAGGCTAAGAGAAAAATCATATGATCGTATCGTAAATATGCATATATAACACAAATGCATAAATAACATTTGAATAAATTCCATATGTATTCATGATAAAAAATTTCAGAGAACTGAGAATGGAGGAAAACTTTCTCACCATTTTTTCAACTTGATAAAAAACAATCTACAACATACCTACACCTAACTTCATGCTTAATGGTCAAAGAATAAATAAATACATCTAAGATAAAAAATGCAAGGATAATCACTTGCATCACTTTTATTTAACATATTTGGAAAATGATACCCAATACAATAAGACAAGAAAAGGAAATAAAAGGCATACAGTTGGAAAAAGAAGGAGGAAAATTGTCCCCATTTGCAGCTGACATGATAGTGCACATAGAAAAGACTAAGGAATCTACAAAAAAAAAACCCTCCTAAAACTAAAAAGTAAGTTAAGCAAGGTCCAGGCTACGAGATCAACACATAAAAATGAAGAATTGTATTGCTGTGTACTAGTAAGGGTATGGGGATATTAAATTAAAAGCACCAAATCAAAATTACTCATAAATTTAAATATTTAGGTGTAAATTGGAAAAACATTTTAGGTCTTATATTCTAAAAACTTAAAATGCTGGGGCCGGCCGAGTGGCGCGTTGGTTAAGAGCTGGCTTGGGACGCCAGAGGGTCTTGGTTCGGATCCCACATATGAGGGCCAGTGACACTGCCCTCTGCAGCCAAGATGGTGAACAACAGCTCAACCTGGAGCTGGGCTGCCGTGGGTCACCGACGACAGCGTAGGCTGCAGTCCCTGTGGCAGTGGGCTGCCATAAGCTACCGTGTATGGCCGGCAGCCAGCGTGAGCAGCCAGCAGCCGCCGTGAGCGGCCGTCCAGAGGCCGGCGACTGATCTGTCTCACCCGGGAAGAGCGCAATGATGGTGCCAGCTTGGGCCAGTGAAGCAACATCCTCCACAATTAGACTGAAGAACAAAACAACAGCAACTTGTCTGTTCCTCTTCTCCCAATTCCCCAATAAAAATCTTAAAAAAAAAATCTTCCTTGTTTAAAAAAAAAAAACTTAAAATGCTGATGAAAGAAAATTTTAAAAGATTTAAATGAAGTGTCATATACACATGTTCATGGATTGAAAATGTTAACATAGTAAAGAAGTAATTTCTCCCCAAAACTAATAAGCAGGTTTAATTCAATTGCTGTCATAATCCCAGCAAAATCTTTTGTAGAAATACACAAGACTACCCTAAAATTTTGAAAGGTAAACGAACTGGTATAGCTACAACAATTTTTAAAAAGAAAAATAAAGCAGGAAGAATCACTACACTATCTCAAGATATATTATACAGCTACAGCAATCAAGAATGTATTGGATTGGCAGCAGAATATGCACATAATCAATGGAACAGAATAAAGAACCAAGTGCAGCCAAGTAATTTTCTGACAAATGTGCCAAAGCAATTCAATGAAGGAAGAATAGTACTTTCAACAAATGGTTACTGCAAAAATTAGATAGATGTCCACAGTTTAAAAAAAAATCCATCTCAAACTAAACTTTATACCTTATACAAAAATTAATACAAAGTGGATTGGGGCAATCATTCAAATAGAAAGGAGGATACTCTGCTGTATGTCGTGAGCTATTGGTCTGAAAGAAATGGGATCTTTACATAGCATTCCGCTATCAATGTATATACCCACATATTATATGTGGTGCTGCAATCAGACGGGTCCCATATAGGGAGTTGTTTCTTTCCATCAGGCCCCACACTTCTTCAGAATTATAACTCATTTCATAAGGCCTCAGTTTCCTCTTACAGTTTCTAGAACAGAGCGTTATTTTGTCATGCATACTCAATGGTGCAAGTTAATGGTCTGGTGTGCTGAGTGGTGTAGCATTCTCCCCACTTAGAGTCCTAGCTGTGCAAAGTGTCCTAGATTCCTCAGGATACAGAGCGTCCTCTCTCCCAGAAGCCATGAATCTCCTGATGCTGACCTTCATTATATGTGGGTTACTAACTCTAGTGACCAAAGGTAAGGGAACCCTAGAATGTCGGGATGATGCAACTAGCATGAATTGTTGACTTTGAGCTCCCAGGTGTCATGAGGGGTAAAGAGGGTCCCCAGGAAAAAAGACTTGGGCCAATAAAGAGCAGCAGAAATGCTCTTTTTATGGCAGCTCCATGTCCCTACTCTAAGTATCTGTTAGATGCACCTATCAAGCTGGAGTGTCTTCTGAGGAATTTATCCAAAGGCAAAAATTTCCTCAGTCTTCTGAGCAGCTCTCTCTGCCTCTTTATAAAACTAACCAGTGTTAAGTTAGCCTCACTTCACTTCTATTTTAACAATTTCATTGTTGTACCTATTTCATTTTGTGTCCTATTAGTTCAGCTTTTACTATCATCTTGAATTCTCTTTTGTTGTGAAATTACCTTCAAGGGAGGCCCTCATTTTTATGTTCTGAGATGCGGTGAACAAGTTCATCACACTCTTTGTAGATGCTGTAGAGCTGCCATGAGAAAGAGACAACGTAAGTTTGAGTTAGAGGTGGGGATAAGTTAAAACAGAGTAAAAAGACAAGTGACCAATGGGGAGCTTCTGATATTAGATCAAAAAGAGTGAAATTATTCCTCTTTTTAATAATGCTACTTTTGAAAGTTATATACTTTCTGTTGAAAAAATATACTTGGAATTGTTAAAAAGTATCAAGTAATTGATAGGTTTATATGAGTTTAAGGAAAAGTAGTCTCCTACCCTAGAATAATAGCTCCTCAATCTTCCCTTTTAGAATCTCTGAATCAATTAATTAGTCTTAACAATTTCTTGTATATCCTACCAGATTTGTGTGTGTGTGTGTGTGTGTGTGTGTGTGTGTGTGTTTTCAAGTGAGCAGCTTCTGATGGTTTTTTAAAGAAACTTTTTACTGCCTTTTGAGCTTCCTTTGCTCGGCCTGCTCCAAACTCTTTGGAGTGTACTTTCTCTTCTAATACTGGCCCTTGAGCCATTCTCTACTGCTCAGGCCCACTTCTGCTTCTTTGAAATGTATTTTTTTCTCCTAATAAACTGTCCTTTACTGCAACTTAAAAAAAAAGAAACTTTTTACAACTAAGATATACATATCTTAGATATACATATCTAAGATATACATATATATGTATATATCCTAGATTTTAAAAAAATCCAATGTAAATGAACCATGTGGATTCTTCTGCAATATACTAGCAATATGTCTTAGAGAATTCTTATCAATGTATATACCAACTGTATTATTATTAATGCATACATAGAACTTAAGGGGGCTGTGTGGGTTGAATTTTCTTAATTTAATTCATCCACTACTGCTGGAAAACCAGTTTAATTATCAGAAACAATTCAGTAAGGAAAAATTGTCAACAAATGTCTTTCCATTTATAACTATACACACACATACACACACACACACACACAAGATTGTCAAACAACCTACCAAATGGGCTACACTACTTTTCACTCATATCACTAGTGTGTATCAGCTTCCAATATATTCATCATTACATTTTTTATCATATTCTTTCAACTATTTTATTTGATGTGTGAAAATATCTCATTTTTGTTTGAATTTATCATACTTTAATTATAAATGAGTTTGAACATCTATTCCATTGGATTTCTGAACTCTTTCTTATTACTTAAGAGTTCTTTATGTACTAAGAAAATGGACTTTTTAAAAATTTGGACGTGCTATATTTTACTTAGAAAGGTATTCACTTTCACAAAATGGATACAAATGTGCCTATGATCCTATATCTTGATTCTCATGGAGTCGTGTTGATTTAGTAAGTGAGGTAGAGAATGAATATCTACTCTCAATTCTGATTATGAACTATTTGCTGAAAGTTTGGAAGTAGCAAAGAAGTAAAAATAAGGTTTTGCTCTATTGTTCTCCCTCAGATTCCCTGGATACCATGTGAATAAAATGTGTAGCCTACTTTTAAATTTTCTATCACATCTTTAGTATTTTCCCACATATTAAATATTTTCCCAAAACTGAGTTTTTAATAATTGCATAAAATTTTATGGGATGGATGATTCCATAAATTATTCATCCAATTTTATAATTGGACATTTATGTCCTTGCTTTTTTTTTCTAATAAGTGTATTTATGTTTCGTTTACAAGTATATTCTATATAACTGTTATTAGACATAAACATTCAACATAAAATTCCTAGAAATGCACCTTATCCCTGTCTGCATAGTGTATTATCAATTTCTGAATATTGCAAATTTTTTAAATGAAGGAAATATCTAAGTGTATAATTTTTTCTATTTCTTTCACTATGAAGTCAAACTTTAAGTATATATTTATTGTGTATTTTAATTTTTCTACAAATTGTTTTGTTCTGTCTATTTTTCCCTTTTATTTGGAGGGTGTAGTTTTCATACCTGTTGATTTATAGATTTTCTTTTACAAGTTCAGTTTTGAAATTTAACCATTTACTCTATTTAGGGTTTTTTTTCTATGTTTTCAAGTAAGACAGCATCTGATGGTTTTGTAAAGAAACTTTTTACCAGGCAAAGATGTCTATCAATAGACTGATGTCAATAGCTATTTTGAAGTTGATGCTATCTGATTCTATATCTGGTATGTTTTAGAGCGAGAATTCACATATGGGATAATGTTTTGGCTAGATGGCTTATGTGCCTGAAATAATAATTGTTATTTATATTTTTTAGTTTTATGATTTTGGGATATCGGTGATGGCAGCCACAAGTCCTAACAACATAATAATTCCAGGCTATTCTGAAAAAAATACATTAAGTTACAGATTACTCCTAAATGCCATCATTGTATTGCTTAAGCTATATTCTTGAAATTATCTTTGATATTTTTAGCTGTGACTTCTACATCTATCAGGAAGCCTGTTCTATCTCCCTGCAAATTATACCCAGGACCAACCAAGCTCACCATCTCCGCTGCTACCATTCTGATTCAGGTCACTATCATCTCTCACCTGTTACTGCTGTAGCTTCCTTACAGGTCTCTGTCCTACCCTCACCTCCTGCAATCTACTGTCAAGATAGCACAGAACATGATCCACCCACACTGGGAGTCAAATTATGTACCTCTTCTGCTCAAAACCGTGCCAGGGCCCTTACAGTGGCCCACCTGCCCTCCATGACCTGGCCCTAATGACCTCTCTCACTTCATCTCCTACTATTCTAGTCCTTCCTCACTTTGCTAGAGTCATACTGACCTAAGCGCTCTTCCTCAAACGTGCCAAGCTTGCTCAACCCATGGAGTTCTGTTTGTTTCTTCCTTTTAGAATGCACTTTCCCCACATACCAGTGTGGCTACTGTTTCTTTTACCTCCTTCAAGTCCTTGTTTAATTGTCACCTTCTTTCAAGACCTGTGCTAACTGCTGTTTAAGAAACTGCAATCTGCATCGATGACATTCCAAATAGATTCTGCTTAAATCTATCCTCTCTTATTTCTGCAAACCACTTATCCCCTTCTCACATACAAGATAATTTACTTGGTTTTTTTTTTTAACCACCTGTCTTCTCCTAATAGAAAGTAAGCTCCATGTGATCTTTGTCTGCTTAGTTAACAAATGTACCTCAAGGGCCTAGAATAGAGTCTATATCATAGTTAGGGGCTCAAAACTGTGTTGAATTAGGGGCTGTGCCCTAAACCTTAATCTGGAGGGAATAGTTAAAAAGGAATAGTGACCAATACAAGTGAGAAACAATTCTGAAGAAAAATTGACTGAGGAAGATGATTTAAAGAGCTTAGAAAGGGACAAGAAGAGCTGAGAACCCTCAGATTTCAAGTATGGTTACCCTAAGAGCCAGCCAAGTGGCTCAGTTGGTTAAGAGCTCACTCAAGAGTTTGAGTTCTGAGCAACAGCGGTTTGATGCCCGGCCTGAGCTGAGCAGCCACTGAGCTGCCAACAGGTGGCAGGATGGCTCAGCTTAAAAAAAAAAAAAAAAAAAAGAAATCCCATGTAACTCAAGTATGGTTACCCTAGAGGAAAAAAACAAAAACATTAAGAAATCATCTATAGAAGTGAGGAGTGAAGCAGCAATGTTAGATTTTGTCTTGGATGAAAGAAGTGGAATGTCTACATTTGAAACTTATAGAAAATTCTATCATGAGCCAAGTAAATCTGGGCCAGTAAAATAAGAGAATGAATCGTTGGAGAAGAGGAATAATGCCAACATGTCCCAGGGAAGGCAATAGGAACCAAATTATTGTGAGCTTTATGTATGTCAACCCATGAAAGTTACTTTTCACACATTATTGATTAAATCCAAAAGATGTTTTGAGAATTACTTGCCCTTCCTCGCATATACCAGGCTTCCTCTAACACAGAACCCTCGCTCTAGCTGTTTCCTTTGCTGAGAATATACTAACCTTGGGCCTTCTCAGGCAATTTGCTGAGAAAGATGGTCATGTGGTTTGCCTGATAAATGATCATACAATGGAACAGACAAGTTTCACTTTAGATTCATATATTCACCCCTTAAATGAATTACCACACTGCTGAGAAATCCTACTGGTTTTCTCTTGTGAGCTCATCCTCATCTTCCCTTTTTCCTAGACAGCTATTTTGTACTGACCTTTCTTTTGCTTTAATCCTCCTGCTCCACTCCTCTACATGACTCTCCCAGCCCCCACCCCCACCCCGGCACGCCCCTCCCCCAGCTTATGACTTCACCTCCCACTTCATGATTTAAACAATTCAAATGGAACTTTTTCTTTTTACCACTGCTAACATTCATACCAGTAGGGCTTCACACCCATCCTCTCTTTCCTTCCTGATATATAGCTGAGGAAGTCTGCCTTCTCCATTTCAGTCAATCTGTCATACAGTGATTTTGATCCTCGTCACCTTATCAAGGATTATGACCTTCTGTTGTCTCTTTTCCCTATTGTACACCAACCTCTCCCTTTCTACTTGTTTCTCCTTGATTGTTTGCAAGCATGCTCTGTTATTTCCCATTCTTCAACACAAATGTGAAAAACCCTCCCTCGACCCCATATTGTCCTTCAAGAACTTCTCTATTTCTCTGCTCTCCCTCGGAGCTAACCTTCTTAAGGGTTTTGTCTCAAGGTGTTACTTCCATTTCTCCCATTGACATTTCAACAAACGTCACTCTTGTTTCTTTTCTTCCTACCACTGTGAAACTCCTCTTGTCAGGGTTACCAGTGATACTCGTGGAGTTAAATGCAATGGACACTTTTGCCATTATCTTACCAACCCTCTCAGCAGTATTTGCCTACAAATGTCTACTCATTCCTTTAAGAACATTTTCCTCTTTTACATAATCTAGTCACGTCTGGTTGAACTTTCCTTGTCTCCTTTTGGCATTTGCCATTTTCATGCACGCCAGCTTGAGCTGCAACTGGCAGCATCCCCAGAGCATGGTTGATTGCTTATGAAATACCTCTGTCCAGGGCAATCCAGAAACCGACAGGGAATTATCAGCATACTCTGGGATCACCTATCAGTTACTGGCTGGCAGGATGGTGGATAAATACTCCATCCAGCTCCTTTGACCCTCAAGAAGGATCACTGTGAGGCTTATTTCATACGCTGGTGCCAGAGTTTGCCACGGGGTTATGCTTTAGTCAGCCACAGTGGTAATGAACTGTATAACTCACTTCTTTTTTGTTCTTCTTATTTTCCCAACTTCCTCACTGCAAACTGATTGGGGGGATGGAGGACACCTATCAACTCAAGTATTATACCTAATTTTTACCTCAAGGTCTGCTTTTGGGGAAACGAATCTCATTCTCTAGTGTCTTATTCTTCTGTTTTGCTCAGATTTACCTGGTTGTTCCTTTTGAGTCTTTCCTCCTACCTGAGCTCTCAATGTTGACACTCACCAGAACTTCATTACGGCCCCTTTTTTTCTCATGCTATTCCAACTTACTATATTTTATCAATTACTGTAGTTTTAAATACTATTCATAAGCAATGATTCCAAAATTACACCTAGAGTCTAAACTTGTCCACTGAGATCCTACAGGTATACCTGACTGCCTTCTTGACATTTTTAATATATATTACATGTTATATGCAAATACTTGAGACAACCTTCTTCTCTTCCTTCCAAAGCTTGTTCTTTCCTCAGTTTACTATTCTGTTAATGGCAAATATCACTAATCTACCTTATCTCAAATCAGAAATGTAGTGACGCACTTTGATTTCTCCATCTTCCTTAACTTTATATCTAAACAATCAAGGTCTCAAATCTGTCCTCTGCTTTGCACAACTCTCACAGCCCCAGTTCCAGCCACCATTATGTCTTACCGGCCAAAGCCTCTAACATGTGTCTCTGATTCTATTCTTTCTTTTCCATAGTCAAATTTCCACATGCAATGCTAACTAACTATCTAAAAACATAAAGTAAATTAGCTCACGTTATGTTTTGAAATACATAAAAATGCTTAATGATGGCCTCAAGTGACTGGGAAATGGCATTGTTACTTCAAGTTCATTTTATCTCGTGCTCCTTTGTTCTTTGTACATTACACTTCAGGCTCATCAGCTTTCTCTAAATACCTTGAAGACTTTATGCAGTTTCTCAGCACTGGGACTGAACATTTGCTTGACCTTTCCTGAAATAAACTTTGCCTCCTGTGTACCTCGCTGGCTCCTTTTATCCTTCTTGCCTTGACTTAAATATCAGCTCTTAGTATGTCCACCCTCTCTGTTTCTTCTCCTTCTCCTTCTCCCTCTCCCTCTCCCTCTCTCTCTCTCTCTCTTCCCAAGCCCTCCAATTTCCGTGGTGGCATATATCTTAATTTTTAATATACACTTTACCATGTTGTTGCTAGAGTTTAAAACTTGACCTACTTATTTATTCATTGCAGCTGGCTGGGGATACCAAAGATGCTGGAAGAATAATGTAGGACACTGCAGACGACGATGTTTACATACTGAAAGGTACAAACTTCTTTGTATGAACAAGCTAAATTGCTGCACTCCCATAAAATTTGATGAATACACTCGAAGGCCACTACTTCCCCCACTCCCTACAGATTTTACTGTCAATTTTAATACTTGGGATGTTTTTCCTAATTCCCCCATAACTGGGATCAGTGATGAGGTAACAATTAACAAATCTGAAGAAAGCACAGTAACTGGGACTATGACTCCCAAGATGAAAATTTCTACACAGGCTTCGGCCACGACTCCCAAGATGAAAATTTCTACACAGGCTTCAGCCACAACTCCCAAGATGAAAATTTCTACACAGGCTTCGGCCACAACTCCCAAGATGAAAATTTCTACACAGGCTTCGGCCACAACTCCCAAGATGAAAATTTCTACACAGGCTTCGGCCACAACTCCCAAGATGAAAATTTCTACACATGCTTCGACTTTGACTTCAACTTCGACACATCCTCTTGAGAACAGTGGTGGTACAACTCGTTAACATTTCCTCCTGGGTATGGGACACTAGAGGTAACCATTAGGAATAATACCCAGGGAGCCAATTCTACTGATGTTATTTCACTGGAGACAGTTCTGTTGGGGATTGGGTGAAATGAAGGTGGACATAATGCTACTGCCAAGACAAGTGCCAAGAGAGTTACCTTACAATCAGAAACATAGAAAGAGAAGTGTATAGAAGATACAGGGATTCTCTTTATCGGGCTTAAATTCTTTATCTGTCTTCCTCACATGTATTAAAATGTATGGTCTAATATTTGGTCTCAAGTGAACATTTGTGTGTCTGTGTATTTTTCCATGCCCCCCGCTCCCCCCAAAAAATGGAAGGCCACAGTGTGGAGCTGCCTTTTTGATTGAGACTTGAATTTTGATTTTATGAATGCCTGAACCACCATTATCATATTTGGAAGAATCTATGAAGGTACATAAAAAGTCCTCCCTTCCTCACACCCCACCTTTTATTGTAAGCTCTGGCTTTAAATCCCTGTCTGTATCATGAGGTCAAATTTTGTCTAAGGCTTCAACTAGGAACTATCCCAGCTAAAGCTAGAAACTACCTCATTCAGCACAAACACTGATTTAACTAGATAGAGCCAAAAGTGGGACTTGCCTTGAAAGCATATCATATAAAATTAAAAGTTGCATCACAAATTCTACTTAACTTTCCAATGGTATTTCCATGCAAAAGTCCAACTTCCAACTCTAGTGATTTCATAGCATGCCTCTCCAGATTTCAATGTCCATGAATGCTAGTTGTGTGGACAGTATCTATGTTTTGTGTGCCTATATGCATGTGAGTGCTATTTCTATGACAACTGATGGGTCAGCAAGTTTGCTCTCTGATCTCATAGAGAAGCAGTTATTAACTATAAAACTGATTAATTATCAACACGTTGGGCTAAGGCTGGAGTGTTACTGAGATCCACAGCATCAGATCCCTGAATGTCTCAGAATGAAGAAGGTTTATTCCTCTAATTCATTTTAATTTTGTCTAGATCAAGCTGCCATGGCTGTAGTTTGGATATTGGCCATCAGACTACTGGCCCTTCAGTAGACCTCATATTCCAATAGATCTTAGACCATTGGACAAACCATCCAAGTTTGCCTGGAACAGAGGGTCTTCCCAAATCATGAGAATTAGAGTACCAAAGTCTTTAGCAAACAGGGGACAAATTGATTACCTTCTCCTAAATGTACCTTAGGCTAAATGGCTCTCCCCCCAAGTCTTTGTGTGGCTGACACCTCATCACTTAGTTCACATGTCAATTCTTCACAGAGGCATCCCTTCACCATAAAAACCTCCATTGACCACCTACCTACCTCAGCCTAAAGTACTCTTTTTCCATATCTTTGCCTCAAATGTCATCTTCTTAGAAACAATCCTTGGTCGTGAGACCACTCCTTACTTTAATTTGTATTATAATATTTTCTTCCTATCACTTACACTCTTTGAAATTATTTTGCATATTCCTTTGTTCTCCTTTTGAATTATTGAGTTATTTACTTATGTATGGCCAGTCATAACCACCATAATGTACATATAGTCCTGACACCTTGATCTTGCTCATGGCGGTGTCCCAAGCTGCTACACCAATGCTTTGCACTTGGTGAATGTTCAATAAAAACTTGAGAACACGTTGTTCATCTCAACAAATACGAGGTCTCACAATATAAGTCAGTAGTATTCAATATTAGTTTCCTTGTTTTGATATATATTTTGATAGGAGCAATGGATTTGGAGTCAGATGGACTGAAGTCCCATTCATGACTCCATGACTTACCAGTGGTGTGACCTTAAGAGATTCAGTTGACCTCTCTGAGCTTCAGTTTTCTAGTCCATAGAATGGTCTTTATCAATTTTCTAACACAAAGTTTAGCTACTTGTATATCATCCTACAAACATTTTTTGCCATATCATCTATAAGCTATAGTATTATTTACTTAATATTTTTTATAGAAACCAACACAGTCCATTTACTTAAATCCATATTTGACCACATCCTACGTGATGTTACCTGTAAACTCACCACATCAAAAGCTACTGTATTTTCTCAAATGAGTATTAAAATAAATATTATTAAAAACATATACTTATTCTGCCACCTCAAGTTATCACTCATTCTACCAGTGACATGGGTCACATTTTTCAGGAAACACTACTTTAGCCCCAAAACTTTACCTTACAGATGAAGAAAGTGATGTCTTATAGACAAAAAGACAGAAACAAAATTTCAGATTTGAAGGTCTTTAAGATGTAAATCATAATTCCCTATCACATAGTAAATAAATCTCAAAGTTCTTGAATGGGCCCTTTAAGATCTGACATAATGTAGCCCTGCCTGCCTCTGTGATTTTGGTTTCTTTTATTTATTCTACTCATTTTATTTCAGGCACACTTGACTTTTTGCTCTTCCTAGGATACCTACCACTTTCCTTCTTCAGAGCCTTTGTTCTTGCTGCTTTTTCTGCCTGGGAGATTCTAGATATCCATGTAGCTAACTTCCTCAGTACATTTAGGACTCAATGTCACTTCCTCAGAGAGCCTTTTTTTATCTTTAATAATCTGTTCAAAACACACACACACACACGCACACACACACACACACACGCACACACACACACCATATTATCCTCTATCCCTTCCCCTGCTTTAATTTTTCTTTATAGCACTTGTCACCACCTGGCATTATATGTTTGTTGTCTCTCTCCCTAACCAGAGTGGCAGGACCTTGCTGTCTACTCTTAGACCCAGTGCCTAGAACGATGCCTGGTATATAGATCCACAACAAGTCCTCCCTGAAGAATCTGAGAGAAGTGCTACAGACTTCGTTTGTAGCATTTGGACACTGGGAGCCACCACTTCTCCCAAACAGTCCTACCATTTTCAGATGGTTCCAATCATCAGAGTTCTTTTCAATTAGTTTAAATCTGCCCCCCTGCAATTTCCACCCAAGACTTTTAGTTCTGCCCTCTAGGCCTGCCCAAAACATGCCTTTCAGAAGATAGCAACTAGAACTCTTTTGAGCTCATTACTGCTTTTTAGGTTAAACAAGCCTCCCCTTCCATCATTACTCAGGGATAATCCTCTGAGATGATAGAAAGAACATGTGCTCTGAGGCCAGGTAAACCAGATCTGAATCTAGACCTCATTCCTAAGCACTGTGTAACCCTGAGCAAAGCACATCTGCCTATCAGGGATCTTGTGAGGATTTGGGGGCGGGGGGTCATGTATGTAAATTTATCATAGTCACTGACAGTGAGAGTTCAGTGTCTGACTTCATGCTCACTGCTTTTCTGGAGAAGATACTACCTGGATATCGAGGGAGAAACAGATTTCCTGAGCCCCATCAGGCTGTTGATAATACCTGCTGTATGTAGGAAGAAGAGAGTAGAATAGAAGAGCATTAAACCCATCAAAAGGTGTAAAAATGACTCTAAGACAGAACAAGGATCCCAAAAAAAGAAAATCCAGTGAACTCACAAAGTTCCTGATGGAGCCCAGGCAGTGCCCCCTTCCATACCCTCTTTGTTGGAGAACCTACAGGAAATGCTTTTTGTTCTATTATTTGAGGCTAGAGTCCAAGAAAGTCCTAGAAGCAGCTAATATTAAGGATTTGCTAATAATAAGAAATAAAGAGAAAAATACAGAGTTAGAAAGAGCTGGAGTTACGAAAGCTCTCAGCCTGTTTCTTTCTTTCTCACAGTGTGACCCTAGGTAATTCTCTTCCACTCTCTGGGCCTGCATCTTTTAAGCTGAGGAATGCCAATTCTAAGATCTATTGGGATGAGTAAATACCATACATGCATTCATCCATTCATTGTTTTCAACAAATGTTCACTGCACACTCTGGATATATAGAAATCCCTGCCAGTCCCTGGCTTCAGGGGTCTCACTTTCTTAAAAGATGCCCTCAATGGTGTTAGTCTGATAGGGTGGTAAGTCCAGCAACCATTTGACCTGATACTATGCTTTCACAATATTATTGACTATATTCTCTATGTTGTATATTACATCCTCATGACTTATTTTATATCTGAAGATGTGAACCTCTTATTCCCCTTCACCTTTTCCCCCCTTTTGTACGTTTTCAATTACAGTTGACATTCAATTTTATTTTATATTAGTTTCAAGTGTATAGCATAGCAGTTAGACATTTATATAATTTAAGAAGTGATTCCCCTGACTAATCTAGTACCCACCTGGCACTATACATAGTTATTACCATATCATTGACTATATTCCCTATGCTGCACTTTATATCCCCATGACTGTTTTGTAACTATAAATTTGTACTTTTTAACCCCTTCACTTATTCGCTCTGCCCTCAATCCCCTTCCATCTATCACTCCAACAAATCTAGTACCCATCAGCCACCATATATAGTTATTACAATATTATTGACTATATGCCTTATGCTATAGTCTACATCCCCATAACTACTTTGTAACAACCAATTTGTACTTCTTAATCTCTTCTCTGTTTTTTACCCATGCCCCCAAACCCCTCCTATTTGGCAACCATCAAAATGTTTTCTGTATCTATGAATTTGTTTCTGTTTTGTTTGTTAATTTTGTTCTTTAGATTCCACATATAAATGGAATTACTCTGCATCTGTCTTTCTCTGTCTGATATACTCCACTCAGCACAATATCATCCAGGTTCATCCATGATGCCACAGATGGCAAGAATCCCTTCCATGGACGAGCAATATTCCACTGTCTATATGTACCATCTCCTCTTTATCCATTCTTCCATTGACAGACACCCAGGCTGCCTCCACATCATTGTAAACAATGCTGTAATGAATATGTGGATGCACACATCCCCTCAAAGTAGCATTTTGGGGTTCTTTTAATAAATACCCTGAAGGGGAATTACTGGGTCCTTCTTTGTCTCTTCTTACAGTCTTTGTTTTAAAGTCATTTTGTCTAGTATAAGTATTGCTACCCCAGAATTT